GTTAGGTAATAAGCAAGGGAGCCGAGGGCGTCACATAAAGTAAATTATAAATTAATCCATCTAGTTTTGAGAAATAAATGAATGAATTCTAATGTTTTAAAAACTAATTATTTAATTTTTTTATCTATTTTATATAATTTTTTTATCTATTTTATATAATTTTTTAGTTTATTTAGTTTACTTTACTTTTAAAAATAGAAAAAAAAATAAAGATTATAGTAAGATTTATGAAAAAAAATATTTTTTAAATAAAATAATATTAAACCAATCATTGATCAATACTAATAAAGGGATTAGTTAATTAGTTTTTAAACTAAAAGAGACTAATTAATTTATTTTTCAAAACTAATTTATAATTTAATAAGAGATAGGGTGCTTTATTTACCATGCCTCACTGATCATTGTCGTTATTCTGGAGCATCTTTTTCATGCATCCTGGGATCTCGACAAGATAGCGGAGTCCAAAACGGATCAAATCTTTACTGGATGTGAAGAAGATTTAGGAAGAATCGAATACAACTGATGATATCCAATCAACCAATTAAATGCGTAGGTACTACCCATCAATCATGCTTACATAATATTTGGATATACCGAACTTAGAGAGGTAGTAAAGAAATTAATGAAGTCTTATAATTCTTCAAGAATTCCAGACCAACACTGGCTCATTCTAGAGATGTAAATTCTTTAAGTTCTAAGTTTGATTACCAAACCCTAGCTAAAGCAATACACTCCACACATAATTAAAGAGATTAGCTAGCTAGTCTACCAATTATTAATTAAGAAAATTGTCTTCCCCATGTGATTGGTATTAATAAATACTGCATGCGAAATTTAAAAATAACTATCATAATTCCATTTTAATTTAATATATTTGAAATTTGGTTGGCATGACAATGATTCCATATATTTGTGGGTCACATGAAATATTTTCCTTGTCAAAAGATAATCAACAAAGGATCGTACGTAAAGCAAGCAGGAAGTGTCTACAACGTCTATGAAAACTAAGATTAGGATTAATAATATATCTTAATGGTGTGTTAGAGATATAATGGTGTGAAAGGAAAGGAAATTGAAAAGGACTTGGCTCGGGTAAGACAAGATTTATATTCAAATCTCTAATATCAAAAGAAAATGGCACACAGGCTAGCTGTTAAGAGGGTTAGTTAAACCGACTTCAAAGAATCTTCCATATTGTGGATTCCAAAATGCAAGACTGGAGTTGCTTCAATTTCTCCCTCCGTTTTGGTATTGTATTTCTATTTATACAACATGTGATGAAACCTTATAAAAATATCAAATAAGTTTTTCATATCACTCTTTTATACCAGTAAATTATTGATTTTAACTGTCAAAATTCTAAATTTTCTTTAAAAAAAAAACGAAGTAATAAAATCAATAATATTAAAATTAATCAAATTATTAAATTAAATCTTTAATTATTATTTTTTACAGGTTAATTCTGGTTACATCACTTTTGAAACGAACAGTAACTGGAAAGGTCGTTTGACAGATGAAAGCGAGTCCAATAGGCCAGAACCTGTGTCTCTGTTAGGTTCGAAAATGCTTGGAGACTTGATAATGAAATTTCATGAAAGTAGCATTTATTTTCCTTTCCGGTCCATGTTAAATATTGAAACTATCCGACTTAGATGGGCTGGTTTGAATCCAGGTGGGCATTATTTCGTTGTCTGGATTATATGCTAGTGCTTGGCCCAAAATACAACTCCTTGCTCGGACACCTAAGAAACACAAGTTGGATAATTTGATTATTTCTATTCCAAAAATAAATAATAATAAAAAATCTACATACCAAAAAGATATTCTAAAAAAAATACTAGTGAATTGGACCACTAGACCAATTTGGATTGAAGATATGGATCGATATGCAATTGACTTGATAAAAAAAACTAGTGAAAATCGTTAAAATCAATTAGAATTGATGAAATTAGCTTAAATCGATTACACGCTTGGATGATATGGATCGTTGAGCAATTGATCAGATCAAGAACTAGTCAAACTCGTTAAAATCTGCCAGAACAACTGAAAATAGCTTGAACGGATTGACCCGCTTAGGTTGAACCAAAATGGCTAATAACTTGCGACATTAGCACTTGAAAATAAAAATACATTGGGTCCGTGTTAGTTAAGGATGGGCAGAAACGTGGATTTTCAGACATCTTTAGGGATGTCAGGATAATTCTTTATGTTTTTTTTAAAAAAAAAAACCACCCAAGCATGTGTACCTTTCAACGGATATACGCGCACTAAGAGAAGAGAATTAGAAAGGATGGAGCGCATCTCCTTTGTCCCTATTTTCCATCTTGCTAACCTAATTTTTTGTAATATTCACTCATGCTTGAAAATCTCTTATATCTCAAATAAGACCACTCAAAAGGAGTTCAAAATGCTAAGGTAAACAAAGAAAGCTAATCAAAAGAAGGTGCTTATATGCAATTTACTCCTCTCTCACGAGATTTGAAGAGTCTTCTTCTCCCTTTCATATGATTTTTCTTTCATTCCATCTTAAATCTTCATTATTCTAGTATAAATATCAACTTATATCTTTTCCATCAACCTATTGTTTTAATAATACATTTATGCATAAAATATTAGTGTATCTTCGAAAAAAAAACATGAAAAGGAAATATCCAAAAAATTCAAACAATAGAAGAGTTGCACACATAGTTTTAAAAAGCAATCACGGTTGAAAAAATAGTAACGAATTATAATAACCGATGCAAATTTTAATGGTTAAAAATATAATAATTGTAGCTATTATTGTTGTGAATCATTTAACAATTTGTAACAAATTTTCATAATATATGTTAATTTGATAGTTTTATTAAATAAACATAATAATAATTTTTTTTAGTTATATATATATATATATATATATATAATTTGATAATTTCACTATTAACGATTAAATTTTAATTCAATCCGAGTTTCAATTATTGTTCATAAAATGTTATAATAAAATTATAATTTAGTTACTGATTGCTAGAGTAAAAGAAAAAATTGACTCATAGTTTTTTTTTCATGCAGTAAAAAATTAAAAAAATTAGTAAATTTATTAAATTACAATGTAAAAGAAAGTAAAAAAGGAAAATTCGAAAACTAGGCTCAATATCACTTAAAAATATTAAAAAGATAAGTGCAACTAAAATTGTATTTAAAAAAATACATCCAATAAAATTGTATCGAGTATAACTACTTAAAAGTATGGACTCAAATACATACGATATAACTACTTAAAAATATGCACCCAAATACACACGATAGACCCAACATATTAGTCATCGAGTTTAAGTAAATTGCTCGTATGTCTTGATCTAAAACATCTTTCTTCTCGCTTCCCTCTTTGTCTCTTCTTCTTCTTTATACTAGTCTTTCTCTTCCATATCCGTAGCACCAATTTTTTTCTTTTTAGACATTTTCCTGTCTCAAAAATTTATTTTTCCTTTCAAATTTTTTTTGGTTTATGTTTCAATTAAACCTAACTCGAAGATTGAAATACAAATATCAATAAAAGATAACATCATTTTTCTTTCTAAAAAACGAGTATAACGACCGTCATACATGTGAACAATTAATATTTTGTTATAATTTTGAACGACAATAACGACTACACCAATTCCGCATAACAAGTCGTTTTTTAAAACTATGATTGCACACCATTATCTAAACTAAGGATAGGTGCTCAGCCTCTCCTTCACAACACCAGTGAGCAGTTAGAAAGGTGTTCACCACCTCCTTGTGGGAGCAAATGATTACCTCATAGACTTGGTTTGCCTTTCTCAACTTGTATGCTTTTCTTGTTTTTTCCAATCAAGTTATCTCCATATCTTTTTGTCTAACAATGAACTAACATCATATCTAGTATTTTCCTCTTCCAAGTTGTAACTTATAGAAATCATCCACAAACGACGCTCTAGGTGTGAAGGCTTATTTGTGAGCACAAATACACGAGGGGAGAATGTCACTTGAAAGAGTCAGTGCAAGATTCTAAGAGTTAGAGAGTTTCAATTTTTTTAACCATTTTTTGACAAAGAAAGCGTAAACAAGTCGATACTTAATATAGGGATTTTTTGATTCGTTTATAAATTTCACATCAAACATGGAATTGAGAGTCTTTCTTTCAAGAGACCTATCCCATGATTAAAATCTTTTGATCCTTGTTTTACCATCCATCTGTTAAGCTCCTCTTCTCGCTTTATTATTCTAAAGACATTAACTGCTCACAACATTTCTTCACCTTTTGTCCTACAAATTTCACACCCCAGAAGGATTTTATAGGACTTGCTTTGCTCCTATAAATCATTTAATGGGACAGAATTCTCAAACAAAGTTTTTGTGTCTAAATGGTGTAGGCAAAATAAAGAAAAAAAAATACCACTAATATTGCAAGTTATTTCTCCAAATTTCATGAATAGTTGGATATCATCCTGCTGAATTTTTTTCTTTGATAAATGAGATCCTTTCAATCTTCGACAAATGAATAGTAAGGGTAGCTTGATGGAGTTGCTGGGAGCATATTTGTTAGGGTGGATTCGGCTAATCGTCTAACTTTCTACAAGACCCAATTATGCTGAACCTAACAAATTTTTACGCTCATAAAAAGAAAAAAAAGAAAAAGAAACAACTAAATTTCTATACCCATTATCTGCAAAATAAGGCCTCATAAATGTATATGGTCCTCTGCATTATCCCAAAATCATTTATAATCTTATCGGATCTATTCAACTCATAAATAACGTTGCAGAAAAACCCCAACCATGCCATGCCTAAGAAATGAGCACCATTCATAACTAGTTATTTCATTTGGTAGTTTTTAATATTCTCCATCCATTGCGCTAAAAACAGGATCATCATATCTCTTCTAAGCCAGCAATGAAAGGAGTGGACAGTTTTACTCATTAAATTTCTGTTGGGTCCAAAAGGCTATATATGCAAGCTGCACCTAGCCAATTCTGCGTAAGTTTACAAGCAAAACTAAAATGGAACTTCGTGTTCTCATGGGATTTGTCTTAAGTTTCACTTTGGTGAGTTTGCATATACACCAGGATGCTCCAAATATTACCTTTTTTTTTTTTTTCATGTCTAAGAACAATTTCTTTATTCAAGAAAGAGCAGTTGTTTATTGTTTAGAATAAAGAAGAGACTTGCACGTTTTCGGTCTGAAAGAAACTCACGTTAATTGTTAAATTTCATGCAGCTTGAACTAGCTTTAACTCATGCAGCTTCATCTTCAGAGGTCTATTGGCAATCTAAGTTGCCCACCACTCCTATGCCTAAAGCTCTTCATGATCTTCTACCGTCTGGTACGTCTCCTCAGCTTAGCCTCAGCTTTCTTTAAATTACTTGGATTTCTCTCTCTTCTTCTCTAATTTTCCTTCTACACCTGTTCTCAAATTCTTGCTGATTACTATGACCATCGGATCCGTCTATGAGACCACTTTTACTTTGTATTTGAAGTACCAAATATCAAAATTTACTAGCCAACGTTAATTTGATATTCAAAAATTTGTACCATGATCTGCACATCTTTTAAGCTATTCATTGTTGACTGAACAGAGCACAGGAGTGACACTAGTGATGGTAGCAGGAGAGAAAAGGGCAGAGGAATAGGTTTCAAAGATAATGCAATCAGTGTTGGCCTAAATATAGGCGGACTAGGCATAGATGTTGGAGATGATGGAGTATCAGTGGATTTCGGCCACGATGATGAAAGTCCCCTTTCATTTGACTATGGTCGGTCCGAGAATCAACTTGCAAGCAATCCGAATGCGGCTCACTTCTTCCTAGGTAAGGACTTGCAACCTGGCGCAAAAATGAACCTCCGTTTCACAAAAACTGGAGCTAAAGCTAAGTTTTTACCTCGCCAAGTTGCTGAGGTACTACCCTTCTCCTTGGACAAGTTCTCAGAGATCTTGGACAAATTCAGAGTCAACCCTAATTCAACAAAAGCTAAGATAATAAAGGCATCAATAGAAGAGTGTGAAGATCAACCATTAGGGGAGGAGAACAAATACTGTGCCACATCATTAGAAGCTATGATAGATTATATTATTTCGAAGCTTGGAAAAAATGTTCGAGTTATAGCAACAGAAGTTGATAAAGATAATACAAAGCAGCAGGAATTCAAAATCACAGGAGTGAGGATGGTAGGTGACAAGATAGCAGCATGTCATGCCCAAAACTACATGTACCCGGTCTTCTACTGCCATGAAATGCACGCTACTAGGGCCTACATGGTTCCATTGGTTGGAGCTGATGGAACCAAAGCCAAGGCTGTTGCTGTATGCCATTTTGACACATCAAAATGGAATAAGAATCACATGGCTTTCCGAGTTGTTAAGGTTAAGCCTGGGACTGTTCCAATCTGTCACTTTCTACCAGAGGACCACATTGTCTGGGTTGCTAGTTAGGTTAAAAAAACCCTCGGAGTTACAGGGTAGAGGAACCTTGTAACATGAGGAATTAGTTCTCCTAGGCTTGGATTGTGTAAAACCTCCTTCCCTTATTTGCTGCATTCTATGTGGAAAGAATGTCAACAAATAATAAAAAAGTATGTCTTCTGGCCGGCTTGTTATTGATGATATATTTTGGCATCATTCTATTGGTTTTTCTATGTATAGATGAGATGGTTTTCTTACTTGAAATAGAGAACATAGTATGATGACTGAAGAAGGATCCTAACATGGAGCAACGACTATACTTTTAAACACAAGAACTAAAAAGTAGCTAAATTATCCATCATAGATGTAAGGCCATTGTCAAAGTTTTAATCAAATTTGGCAGCACAGCCACAGACATACAATAACACAGAAAAAGAAAAAGGGCTAATCATCTATCAGTATTTTGTCAGAAAATGCCGACAGTTTACTTGAAATCAAGCAACCAAAATGAGACAATAAATTGAAAAATTAATAAAGGAAAAAGAAATCAAAACTCACTATCTTAGCTAGAGATACAGAGGTGACAGCCAAATCCAAGATCCACATGCCTTTGCAGCACCATACCAACAATTTGCTGGGAGCGCACAGTATGAGAAATGCAGCTGCAGGATTATTCATTTGCTAAGAGTTTCAGAATACAACAAATCAACGCATCAGTTCCAATTCAAGCATGATCCATTCAGAATAACCATAAAAAACAATATGCTGGCAGTCAAACAGCTTTTTATATTATAGCTTAAAAATCCAAACAGAATATCTTTGCTAATGCATATTTTAATGCCACGGCTCTTTTATGAAAAAAATTCTAACATATAGACGTACATGTGTATCACAGATTCACAGTTAAACTCAAGCCACAATAGTGACTGACTTGATAAATCAATACTGTTAGGGAAAGAAACAAGGCTGCAATCCAACCACTCACCCCAACCCTTAAAAAAACATTGTTCTCTTGTAACCAAACTAAGTTACAATTTAATCAAACCAAAACCACAACAAATGAAGAGGAACCATCACATCAATAGCCATGACTTGGCACTTGATCACTATCCCTAGCACTCTTTGATATTGATCAATTGGACAATTAAGATACCAAAACATTATACTCATTCAGACGTCTCTGAAATTGAGCCAAACGGGTCTGCAGTTGTAAAATTCCTGCAGCCTTCTGTGAAAGAATGACATTTAACTTGGAGATATAATCATCTAGTTGATTGCCTGGTTGGTCAGCTTCAGCTAGCAAGTTCATCTCCTGCATAAATATGGAAAATTATATCGATTTTATTACAGCAGAGAAGCAAGACATATAAAAAAGAAATCACGACTCACCTCCCTGACAATGTCTATTGTCTCCTCCACTTGTTTTCGGTGTGCAGATACAAGTTCTTCCTCTTCCTGAAAGAAACCACAACAAAATTTAATTTGCAACTTAAGAACTGATCAGAAAACCATATAAAAATATCTAGAGTGAACTAGCCTTCAACAGGACATTAAGATCATCGTCTGAATGAGAATTGTTAGCCTGAACTGCAGAGACATCCCTCTGTTTCATCACACCATCAGTTCTCCGCCTATCCTCCAAAGCTGATTTTTGGTAGGTGTCTACTTTCTTGTTATTATTCATCCATGACAATTTTTCATGTTCATAGGATTCCTCAGTGTAATTGCAATCATTATTAATGACGCCACTTTGACCATCTCTCTGGACCTTGTAATAATCAGTTTGAACAGACACAGCTAAACTTCCCTCTGCCCTTCCACTTGGAACGTGGTCCACATTAAGAGGTGGAGGCGTTTCTCTCTCAGTTGGCCTTGACCATCCAAACCTGCTCTTTTCATTGGGAAAATCAACTATGCTATCTACAAAGGTTGGTTCAGGTGGTGAACATGAAGTCAAGGGCAATGCAGTTGACTCCCTAAGGTTTGAAGAAGATAATGTATCCCTCTTGGAGCTGTTCCCTTTTGATAGACTCTTAACCCTAGAATACAAATATCTGTCAGAAATATTCAAGCAAACAAAGAGCTCGCTTCCTCACAACTAGTTAGTTACAAAGCTCCATACCTATCAGCATATCTCAGTGTGTTGAGAGTGTGTTCACATGATCCTGAGCTCGGTGAAATACATGATATCATAACAGTGCGCGAGTCACCAACAAATGAATCTCTCAGAACTTCTGTTAGTTTACTGCCTCTGAAGGGAATGTGACCCTGGTCACTGTCAAGAGCTCTGATACATTCTTTCAGAGCGAGTAAGCTCTTGTTAATTTCAGCACCTTCTATTCTGAAAAGAAGTAAAAGCAGCTAATGGTTCAAATGAACCCACAACATTTTAAGACATCAGCAATGCTAAGAAAATGTTCGCAATTGTAAACAAAGAAAACAAGGTCAAATTGTTATACTTGGTGCACTTTGTGACCAAAAAGATCTCTTTGGGGCATCCAATGGATCCACAATCAGTTGAAAAAAGAATACAGAGTTTCAGAGAATCAAGATATAAGAGCATGCTCTACCTTGTCTGTTTATCATTATCAGTAGTATCTGCACCACGCTCGCTTCCAGCAAGATCTATAAAAGACAGTTTTCCCACTAGTCGGGAAGGCTTTGAATCAGAGCCATTGGTTGACTTCTTGATGGCAAGCTGAAGTATAGCATGTGATCGGGAAGATTCCTCGTTTGCACCAGTTGTGCCAGTGCTTCTTGTGGCATTTCCTTTCTCAATGAACTCCCTGATTGCCTCAACATCTGACACTCTGTATTCTTGCAAACCCACAATGCAGACCTGTTGTTTCCCATCCTCCCTCATGCACAGCTTTCTGCAGAACCAAGAAGCCGTTTGGATAATTGAACATAATTGTAGATTTTTAGCCAATCCAAAACCTTCAATAACTTACTTCCGATCATTGAGGAGATCAAATAGTTTCCCTCCATATATCTCAAAAAAACTGACAAACAATTGAAAGCCTTGGTTCCAATATGTATGGTGCATCAGTCTTAATATGTCTTGGGATGCTTTGAGAGGCAATGGCTGCATGGTATAAGTCTTTCCACTCCCTGGTTGGGAAATATTAATCACCAAGTTTATTTTTAACAATGTGATGAAAAAAGAGCAAGGAAGGCATGTAAAGCATAAAACAAGAAAATCAGAGAAATAACAAACCAAACCACAGGGTTTCTTTCCTCCTACTCCTCCCCTTTTCAGTTTCTAAGAAAGATGATCATGTACTGCATTTATAGACCACATCTAAACACCATTACCCCAAATGTTAAAGAGTTTTACCACGTGGCTAAACCAAGGAAAATTACATTAATTGGAATGCCTAGCACTGACATCTGTTAGTAAGACTTGTGTAGTTTAGTTCCAATCGCAGCACCAAAAAAAAAAAAAAAAAGTGGGAGAATGGGGAAAAATGAACTAAGTTGTTATAAAAGAAATGAGATTCTGTTACTCCGTATCCAAGAGTGAGAATATCATATAAATCCAAACTACTTGCCTGTCTGCCCATATGCAAAGCAAGTTGCTTTCGTTCGCCGGAAAATTAGAGGAACTACGGGTTGAACAGTCTGAGAGTACACCTAGGTACATTGATTAAAAAGAAAGAAAGAAATCAGATGAGACTATTGGGTGAATGTAATGATAATTCTTATTATGAACCAATTATCTTACTTATCATATACTCACCTCATCATTCGAAACACCTTCGTTTAGCACCGCATCAAAAACAAATTCATGTTTCTCAACATATTCTGTCAAATCAACCTGCACATTATAATAGATTTAGACCCTTCCATACAAACAACAAAAATTAACAGAGATTGCTGACTGTAAGTCCGAACCACATCCTAGGATTCGTATTGTACATACAAATACCCCAACGTCAATGTAAAGAAAGTTTTATTCGCCAATAATCACCTTGAGTTTGGTTTCATGAACTGTGAGAGCATTCGAATTCGATTCAATTGTAATGATGTCTTCCTCTTTCTTTGTTATTTCCTTTCTGTTTAACGGTCTCTTACGAACCTGCAAGATTACAAATTATCACTATCATTTCATTAATCAATCTCAATCACTACAACTACAAGTACAAGAAAAGATTTTTATTTAGATACTGATAAACAAATGAACAGACATACCACAACTTTGATCTTCGCAACATTGTTGTTAAATCTTTCTTTGTCCAACGACATACTTTTAGTAAGGCTATTGTTTTCAGCCAAATTTTTACCTCGACTTGCTGCTTGATTAAGTGGTTTTACATCTGGCAATAAGTCAGTATCAAAAGAATGGAGATCGAATAAACCAGGACTGAACTGATCATCTCCAATCTTTCTTAGACTCGATGATCTTGACCCGTATCCAAAGTCCTGCAAATTTCAAATGCCATCTCTTTTTAAAAAGAAAGGAAAGGAATTAAATTAACTAAAGAAAGATGGAAATTAAGTAACTAACTAACCTGTGAAGATGATTGAAGAAGCCATCTACTACTGTCAAGGAAATTATCTGAGTACTGACGGTGGTGGTGCGACGTCGTCGAATTCGATCTCGGAATCTGTCTCCCAACCACATTCATCTTTGATCCCTCTGTTTTCAAAATTCAATTCTCAATCTTTGCTGCCGGCCGCACAGTAACCAACTCTGTCTGTTTGCATGCGCAGTGATATGTAGAGAGAGAGAGAGAGAGATTAGGTGGTTTTCTTGTAACAGGCAAGAGCAGGAAGAAGCAAATGAGAAATGATTTTCAAACTTTTAAAAGAAAGACCCGGGGGCAGGTAAAGGGCACAGGCGCTTTGCGGAAGCGGAACAGAATAAGTAAGGAAGACTGGGGAGCAGTGGGGCCCGTTTTGAATGAGTGAAGGGAATGAGTGATGTTCTGTCCCTTGTGTCGTGTTTTTAGACTTGCTTTTTTATTATTATTATTATTATTAGATGACACGAAGGTTTTTGTTTTTTGTTTTTTTTTTCCCGATATATA